TAGCTGGGCATGGTGGTGCGTGCCTGTAATCCCAGCTACTCAGGAGGCTGAGGCAGGAGAATTGCCTGAACCCAGGAGGCGGAGGTTGCGGTGAGCCGAGATCGCGCCATTGCACTCCAGCCTGGGTAACAAGAGCAAAACTCTGTCTCAAAAAATTAATTAATTAATTAATTAGAAAGCCGGGAGCGGTGGCTCATACCTGTAATCCCAGCACTTTGGGAGGCCAAGGCAGGCAGATCACGAGGTCAGGAGCTCGAGACCAGCCTGACCAACATAGTGAAACCCCGTGTCTACTAAAAATACAAAAATTAGCTGACCACGCTTGGTACTCGCCTGTAATCCCAGGCGAGGAAAACAGCTTGAACCCAGGAGCTGGAGGTTGTGGTGAGCTGAGATAGCACCACTGCACTCCAGCCTGGGTGACAGAGCAAGACTCCATCTCAAAAAAAATAAAAAATGTGTGACTTTTCAAAAAGCCAAAATAATGGAGAAACAATAACGGCTCTAGGTTAAAAAAGAAGACATAACAAGTGCAATTCAAAAAGCTTGAATAGGCTGGGCACACTGGCTCACGCTTGTAATCCCCATACTTTGAGATCACTTGAGCTCAGGAGTCCGAGACCAGCCTGGGCAACATGGCAAAACTGCATCTCTATACAAAGTACAGGCCAGGTGCAGTGGCTCAGGCCAGTCATCCCAGCACTTTGAGGGGACCGAGGCGCCGGGATCACCTGAGGTCGGGAGCTTGAGACCAGCCTGACCAACATGGAGAAACCTTGTCTCTACTAAAAATACAAAAAATTAGCCACGCATGCTGCCACGTGCCTGCAACCCCAGCTACTCAGGAGGCTGAGGCAGGAGAATCGCTTGAACTTGGGAGACGGAGGCTGCGGTGAGCCAAGATCGTGCCATTGCACTCCAGCCTGGGCAACAAGAGCGAAACTCCGTCTCAAAAAAAAAAAGTACAAAAATCAGCTAGATCTGGTGGCGTGCACTGGTGGCATGCACCTATAGTCCCAGCTACTCGGGCGGTTAAGGCGGGAGAATTGCTTGGGCATGGGAAGTGGTGGTTGCAGTGAGGCGAGATCCTGCCATTGCACTCCAGCCTGAGCGACAGACCAACACCCTGTCTCAAAAACAATCTGAGGCCAGGCGCGGTGGCTCATGCCTGTAACCCCAGCACTTTGGGAGGCTGAGGAGGGCGGAGGACGAGGTCAGGAGTTCGCGACCAGTCTGACCAACATGGTGAACCCCGTCTCTACTAATACAAAAAAAAAAATCAGCTGGGCACGGTGGCGCACATCTGTAATCCCAGATACTCAGGAGGCTGAAGCAGGAGAATCACTTGAAGCCAGGAGGCGGAGTGAGCCAAGATGGCGCCACTGCACTTCAGCCTGGGCGACAGCGAGCGAGACTGTCTAAAAAAAAAAAAAAAAAAAAGCTTGAATAGATCTCAGATCCAAAAACACTCAGTTATAGTTCAGAACAATTTGAAGAATTTTCGTTTATTATACAGAGTAAATATTAGATAATATTATTTTTCATTTTCTTGATGCAAATAGTACTATGGTTTTAGTAAGACAACATTCTTATCATTGAGTCAGGCATTACCAACTACTTAAGTGTTGAAATTCATCTCTGCAATGTATTTCCCGTTTACTCCCAAATAGTCCACCATAAAATTTATTTACGAGAGAGCAAATACAGAAAACGCTAAAAACAGCTGCATCTACAATGGATACTTATTCGTCGCACTGGGTGGTGAAAAACTTAAATAGGTTTAAGTTTTTTCGAAAGAAAATGTGGGAAAAATACACTTAATACAGTCATCCTGGTAAATTCGATTATTCTAGTATTAGTGTGTAAACCCTCCATCCTTTCTTCCCGGTGGGCTGGTTATGAAGCTCTTTGGAGATGTACAGCGCTAGGAACTTCTTTTTGTGTTTGTGGGTTTTGTTGTTTTTGTTTTGTTTTGTTTTTGAGATGGAGTTTCGCTCTTTTTGCCCAGGCTATAGTGCAACGGCGAGATCTCGGCTCACTGCAATCTCTGCGCACGGGTTCAAGCAATTCTCCTGCCTCAGCCTCCCGAGTAGCTGGGATTACAGGAATGCGCCACCATGCCCAGTTAATTTTTTTGTATTTTTCGTAGAGACAGAGTGTCTCCCTGTTGGTAAGGCTGGTCTCGAACTCCTGATCTCAAGTGATCCACCCGCCTCGGCCTCCCAAAGTGCTGGGATTACCGGCGTGAGCCACCGCACTCTGCCAGAGCTAGGAACTTCATATGAAAAGAATAGCTGAGTATTCTTAGCTTTCTTTAGCAGAAAAAACTCGCGGTCTACAAACATTTATATGCACATACAGAAATACGCACACCCTAGACAACAAAGAAAGCACTTTTCTACCTCAACGAAATGTGTCAATAAAAAATACACAGGTTTCGCAAAGGCCACGTGACAAAATCTCACACGAAACACTCGTTTGCGTAACAAAGGAAGCAGCTGCCCCCTTGAACCAACTATCTCCCGATACTCACCCGAACGCGGTGGAGTCGCCAGGTCTGTGGAGCTGCAGGATCTTGCGGACGGAGTCAACCGAACGCGAACAGCAAAATTCTTTTCCCTCTGAAAAACAATTTACAAAGGTTGCCTTGGAGACTTATTTTCTAAGGCCTCAGAACCCTTGGAGACTTTTGAAGACGGGAACACAACGGCTGGACACATCCTCGGGCGGACCCATACTGCACTTCCCACCCAGCTCCTCTAGGGCACCCAAAGTCCCAGTGGCCTCTCGGGCCTGGCCTCCCCCGATGGCTGCGCGACTCCGGCGGACACGAAAGGGGTGGTCCGCACATCTCTAACAAGGTTCCTCAATCGCCCTGGATCGAATGTGACCTCTGCCGCCCCCGAAACACCGCCCAACCCCCTAGTCTACACAAACCTCACCAAAGTACTGACTGACCAGAGCACACAAAGGAAAAAGGCGCCAGCGACTAAAAAAGAGGGCGGGGCGCCGCTAACGTCACTTCCGCTTTGGACGTTGGGGGTTGCGACTTGTGTGGGCAGTTGGCCAGGATGGGACTCTTTCGGCATAATTCTAGTTTTCCTCCGCGTGGGTGCGGAGGTATCAAGGGGTCGGCTCAGTGCGTGGGTCGGAAGGAGAGAAATGGGCTCAGAGGACAAGGTGGGGGCTTAAATCAGGCCTGTGGGCGGGGCCCATTCCGGGGGCGGGACTAACGGTGGGGCCAGACCCAGCCAGTGGCCTCGGTGGCGGAGTGGACTAGAAGGGCGAAACGTCCGTCGAGGGACTCGCCCCTCAAGATGCACATTAAAAACGTTCCCCACGTTCCTGAACCCCTTTCAAGATTCTCTCCAGTTGATAAACCTGCCAATCCATGAAACGGCCTGCTTCCTCCATTCGA